GCTGTGGTTTGGGGGGGTGAGCGTCACAAACACGGGGCTCTGAGTGGCGCCTCAGCTGCCCTTCAGTGCTGGAAACTTGGGCTGGTTTTGTTACTTCTCCGAGCTTTACTTTGCTCGTCTGTGAAGAGTACTTACGCCCACCCGGACATTCCAGATGCCCAGGAAGCAGTTACTTCTCGTCGTATTTTCACCGTGGCTAAGTCCTTTCCTAGTGGCCAACATCACCAGAGTCTGTCCCAGAGGCAGACGAGTATGCCCCAGCACAGCTCCGATGTGCCTCCTACACTCAGCATAAAGCATGAATGCAGAGTAGACTGAATGGAGGACTGCTAATGTCCCGTGTCCATTAACAGGCACGCGTTCACTTTCCCCGCCCCTCGTCTGTCCGTCAGACTGGGGGGACTTGTGCGTGGCTGTGATGCTGGAAGCCAGTTCACTGGTATTTCGAATGCCAGCAGGGTCACCCAAAGAGAACGAACGGGCTCCAGCAGAGCTTCTAGACCAGGGTCAGACTAGACAGAAGGACCAGGCCGTCCACTGCTGAGGTCTCAGCCACTGAAAACCTGATGGCTCGCACCGGGACCTTGTCAGATATAGTGCCAAAAGACGTGCCCCTCAGCTAAACGGCACCTGGCACTAGCACATTCACTTGCCATGCCAGGAACCGTGGTGACATAGGGGGTTAAAGGTTGGACAGCATCAGGGTGCAGTCTAGCACTGAGGAAACATACAACTTCTAGTTCTTTAATGCTTCCTCCCCCCGCCCCGCAACTATCATGACCCGGATTCTACCTTACAAATCCGGCTAGACCAGAGCATGTACACGGGTACAGATAGGAGCTGGAAACACAGGGAATCCAGGACAGATCAGGACCAATATTGAGATTAGCAATACTAGGAGGGTAAGGGTAAGGTGGGAGGAGAAAGGGGGAATTGATCACAATGATCTACATATACCTCCCTCCCGGGGGGATGGACAACAGAAAAGTGGGTGAAGGGAGACATCGGTCAGTGTAAGGCATGAAAAAATAATAATAATTTATAAATTATCAAGGGTTCATCAGGAAGGGAGGGTGGAGGAAGGAGGGGAAAAAATGAGGTGCCGATACCAAGGATTCAAGTAGAAAAGAAACGTTTTGAGAATGATGATGGCAACAAATGTACAAATGTGCTTGACACAATGGATGTCTGTATGGGTTGTGATAAGAGCTGTATGAGCCCCCAATAAAGTGATTTAAAAAAAAAAAAAGGTTGGACTGCATGGTTGGCAGTTCAAACCCATCAGCCACTCGGTGAAAGAAAGCTGCAGTTGTGCGACTTGCGGTCTCAGAGACCCCCAGGGCAGTGGCGCTCTGTCCTGCAGTCACTCCGCGGCAGTGGTGGGAGTACGATATCCGATGTTGTCAAGTTTCCCTCAAGACAACTGCATTTTGTTTGGTTTTGTTGTTTCTCATCCAGGTGCCTGTCAATGGGCATGTGCAGTGAGTGAAGCCCACAGATTGGGTTAAGTGCCCTGAGCACCGAAATGGGCGCGACATCCCCTTCTAGCACGGTTTTGTCTCTGCCACTAGCAAGAACAAGGTGCTTAGACGAATGTTTCTGTAGTTGTTCGAAGTGTGGGCCAAGTGTGTGACCTTGGGTCAATTACTTGACTTTGCTGTGCCTCAGTTTCCTCATCAATAAAAGAGGCTCGGTGATCGTACCCTGTCTCCACAAGGACAGAGGCTGAGCAGGGGGACATCCAGGTGTGGCTCAACCAGTCCTGGGTGACAGTAAGTTTGTTTGGGGTTGTGCAGGATGACCTCCTGGGATGTGGCAGGGAGAGTAGTAAAAGCATGATGAAAAAGCCCATTGCCTGCTGATAGGGGGAAGGAGAGGGTGGTGATTATGGTTTGCCTCCCAGCCATACTTAGCAGCTTCTCAGGATCAAGGATAGGAGGCAGATGTTTAGCGCGGCACTGCTGGGTTTCCAAGGGGCCGCAGTGGTTATGCAGTTACTCGTAGTGGAGCATCTTCTCAGTTCCCCTCCCCAGGTACTTCCCTCACAGCCACCCTGTGAGAGAGCTGCTATATCCCCATTTTACAGGGGAGGGGACTGAGGTCCGAGAAGCAAAGTGACTTCCCCAACACCGCACAGCTAGCAGTGGCTGAGCAGGAATGGGAGCCCTGCTTGGCCATTGTGAGTGCTGCCCTCTGTGGGAGGTAGGCGCCCATGCTTGGGCCCGCCCGTCCCACCTGCTGAGAAGGAAAAGCCAGGAGTGCCTCCAGCAGACGGGCCTGTTGCCCCAAGTTAGACCCTCCTGTGGAATCTTGTCCCACAGCCCCAAGGAGCTTGGTCTGTCTGTCCTGCCTTCTTTTCCCCGCAAGAAACAGAACTGGCCCGAAACCCCAGACTGTTGAGCGTCTGTAGGATTCTGCAATGAGCGAGCTGGCGCAACAGGCCCGCCTCGCAGCACCCAGGTCTCGGCCCTTCCAGAGCGCAGGGCTCTCCGTACCTTCGCAGCCCTGGGAAGCAGACATGAGGGCAGAGATACATGGGCCCTCTGAGGCCAAGCCCGCTCTGGCGGCCTGAGAACAGCCTGTGGCTCAGGAGTGACATCAGACCCAGTGACTCACCACCCTTAATCCGGCTGGTGCCAGAACAGACCATGAGCCTTTTGTGGGATTGAGGTCAGAGCCAGCAGCACAGCCCTGCACCTACAGGCCCAGCAAATGAGGCCAGCGGACAGAGCATTGGCCTGGGATCCAGCAGGCCTGGGTGGAGGACTTAGTACTCCACTGAGCCTCAAGCTTCCCATCTGTCAGTGGGAGAGAATGATGTGGGTGGAGCACTTAGCCAAGAGCTGGCAGTTGAGGAGCTGAGGCTGCAGTGAAGGGCTTCTTGTCTACTTCCCACCCCTACCTCCTGCGCTCCATCATTATCCAGACCCCAAGACAGACAATGAATGGGGCCTGAGAAACCCCCGATGTTCCACCCCCCAATCATTCATCCATTTGCAGATATTCCAGTGAATGACTCAGTGCGTGAATGAATTGCTGAATCTGTGAATGAGTACGCTAAGCAGAGAAGGGCATGCCTGGTTGAGCTCTACCCTCCAGGCAGGTAAGCAGGACACACTGAGCAAATGACAAGTTGTTCAATATCCAGCCATTCAGCAAGTTTTTGTTGAGCACCTACTGTGTGTTGAACATCATGCTGGGGACGTAACAGGGAGTAAGGCCAACCAGGAGTCCACCTGCTCTTGTGAAACTCATAGTCAAATGGGAGAGATCGCAATTAACAGGGATATAAACAAACAGGCCGGGCCATTCTAGAGGGCAATGTGGTCAAGGAAATGACCAGAAGCCACTTGGGGTGGATGGGGCTGAAACTCTGCCAGGAGGAGGGATCCAAGAGGAGGGGACAGCTGGACAAAAGCCCCGAGACCACAGAGAGCTGAAAGACAGACCAGAAAGATGGGCCAGGATGACTAGGGGAGACGAGCTCTTGCCAAGGTAGGCAGTTGCCAGATTGCAGGGCCGGCACCCACCCTCCATCCCACACACTGGGATCCCTTGGGGGCTCTTGAGCGCGTCTTAAAGGAGCCCTCTCAGGCACTTTTGTCTGGAGCTGCTGCTCAACACGGGCTCCCCTTGGGCCTGGGAGCCCTGCCTCACAAGTACCCCAGGTCTAGGAAGCATGAAGGGAATGGGGGCAGGCTGACCAGCCTGGGGTATGGGGAACATTCCAAACAGAAGAAGCAACAGGGTGACCCGGACGTGTCAGCCCAGAGGGGCTTTCAGCAGAAGCACCCTGGAATCCAGCAGAAACCACCACGTCTCTTCCTGCTTTCAGGTTTCCCAACCTCTTCCCGCCACTGAAGCCAGAGACGGTAGCGCGGAGGACGGTGGAGGCTGTGCAGCTCAACCAGGCCCTCCTCCTGCTCCCCTGGACCATGCATGCCCTCATTATCTTGAAAAGGTAGGGGGTTGGTGGGAAGTGCCCGGTCCAGCTCCTGCTGGTCGTTGCTCTTGCTGGGGAAGAGTCAGCAGGTGGAGAGCACATCCTCATGTGATTGATTGGTTATGTCTGCTCTGGGCATGAGAATGAGAGATAGAGATGCGTCTCCCACGGGTTTACTATTTTTACTCTGGGGTAGCGGTTCTCAGACTTTGGGGTCTGGGGATCTCTTTACAGTCTTAGAAACGACTGAGGAACCCCAAGACTGGTTGACCCGTACCCATCACTAATTACTGTGTTTAAAGTTAAAGTGGACTGAGAACAATGGTTCGTACTGACATCTATTCGGGCATTTAAAAACTGCAGTAAAACACAAACACATAACTGCTACCGTGTTGACAGTGTCAGGTGCTATCAAGCCCGTTCCAATTCAAGCGATCTTAGTACAGCAGAACTTTAGCCGCTGGCCCCGCTGCAGCCCACACCACCGCCATGTCTGAGCCCACAGTGGCAGCCCCACGGTGACAGTCCCTCTCTTAAGGTCCTTTCTCTTGTGTTGATGTTACCGAGCGGGATGTTCTTCTGATGGCAGCCCAAGTACTGGAGACAAAGCCTCAGCAGCCTCCCATCTGAGAAGCATCCTGGCTGTACTCCTTCCGAGAGAGATTGGTGCCCGCACTCTTCCCCACCCCATCATTTCAGCGAGCATCGAGTCTTTGCTTCCTCCTCCTTATTCGTCGTCCGGATCTCCCCTGTGGATGAGATGCTGGAAAATACCGTGGCTTGGGTCAGACGCACCTTGGTCTTCAGCGCGACGTCTTTCCTTTTCAACGCCTTCGCCTTCAAGAGGCCGTGTGCAGCACACTTGCCCCGTGCGAGCCTTCACGGGAGTGTCTGACTGCTGCTTCCACGGAGGCTGCTTCTGCCTGCTGGTGAAATGACCCTTGACAACAGCATCGTTTTCTGTGTGTATCGTGATGGTACTTACTGGTCCAGTGGCAAGGATTGTGGTTTTATTTGGGTTGAAGGATGGTCCGTCCTCAGCACTGTAGTCTTTGAAGTCCTCATCCTTGTCTCTTCTAGTCAAGTGGGTGGTGTCATCTACCTACCGCAGGTGTTTCGTGAGTGTGCTAATCCTGCTGCCCCATTCTCTCCTTGCACTCCAGCTTCTCAGACGATTTGTATCAGCTCTGACACACACCTGTCCTGATTCGAAACTACGCAGTAGCCATGAGCATCATGCCGTGTTCTTCTCAGTGCTGTCCATAGTTTGTTCCACGAGCCACACAGAATTAATAAACCACAGGTCAACATCTGTCTGGCTTGCTCGACTTTCAGCCAAGATCCACCTGGTGTCAGCAATTAGAGCCCTCGTTCCATGTTCTCGTCTGAATCCTGTTTGAATTTCTGGCAGTTTTCTGTCATTTTAAAAATTCTCTTCAGCAGAATTATCCTTGTGCATGATCTCAGTGATATTGTTCAATAATTTTTGCATTCGGTTGTATTGCCTCTCTCTGGATCAGGCACAAATAATGGGTCTCTTCCAGTTAGTTAAACAGGTGGCTTCCTTCCAAATTCCTTGGCATAGATGAGGGAGTGCTTCCAAGGCTGCATCCCCCCTTGGAAACTCTTCAGTTGGTATTCCTGGAGCCTGGAATGCCCTCGGTGCCGTTTAAATTCCTCCCTTTCGTGTGATCTTAAAATGATTGGACACTGGCGAATCCGTGTTGCTACAGTAGCTGGTATATTCCTTTCAGCTTCCTCTTGGCGTAGAATCCTTCAACAGGGAAGCTCCAGGCTTGTTCTTTTCTCTTTGTTCTCAAGCTTGGAAAACGCCGAGTATGATTTTTCACTTCTGACTCCAGCTGTGTGCGTGTTTCTTCATAAGACTTTGTCTTTTCAAGCTGCTCTTTGAACCGTTCTGCTTGGCTCTTTGACTCCATCCCTCCTTCCACGTGCCTTCGCTACTCCACAGTTAAGAGCACGTTTCAGGGTCTCTTCTGATGTCAATTCTGACATGTGTTTTCTTTCTTTCTGGTTTTTCTAAAATGAACCTAAACGTTTGTTTTTCTTGATAGCATCTCACAAATCATCATTGTTCGGTGCCCCCGTCCCAGTCTTGAGATGACCTCTAAGCTCCGGAGGGCATATCCAGAATTGTACCTGGGCTCTGGTGGCCTTGTTTTCACTTTCTTCTGCTTCAAATTGAGCTCACAGATGAGAAACTGATGGGCTGTCCTGTTTGGCCCCTGGCCTGGTTCTGCCTGATGGTGCTGGGTTTCCCTTTGCCTCTCTCCACAGGTGGAGTCCGTTTGATTTCCTGTGCTTTCACTCCAGGTTGGTCCCCGTGTGCAGTCACTCTTTATGCTGTTGACAGACACCTGCAGTGGGGACATCATTGGCTTCCCCAGAGTCTATCATACCTCTGGCATCATTTCCATCACCCAGGCCATGTGTCCCAGCGACTGATCCTTCTTTGTTTCCAGCTTTGGAATGTTAGCCACCAAGAATTATCAATCCCTCTTGCTTGCGTGTTTGATCAATTTCATGCTGCAGGAGTTGGCAAAACTCTTCACTGACGGTGTTTGCCATTGGTGGTTGGTGCATGAATTAGAGTAGCGGTTCCGTTGTATTCCTGGTCTTGCCCGGAGGAGTAGGAACGCTCGGATTCCTGATGGCACTGAGGGTGCCATTCCTCTGCGACTTGGCATTCCTGGCAGAGTAGATTGCATGGTTATCTAATCCAAAAACGGTCACTGCCGGTCCATGAGGCATACCGTACTGATCTGTATGCATCCCGCTTCATTGTGGATGGCTTTCAGTTTTCCTAGAGTCATACTTGGTATAATCCACATGCTGGTTACTGGTGGGTGCTTGCCGCTGTTTCTTCTCATCTTGATTGGTGCCACATCAGCAAGTCAAGAAAGCTTTACTCCACCCACTTCCTGGCCGTCAGCCCCGCTTGGAGGAGGCCGCTCTGGTCCAGTCTTATTTTGCGTGCCTTCCACCGGAGGGACTCCTCTTCTGACCTGACATCAGACCATGCTTGCGCGACTCATCAAACTTGAACTGGCCAATTGCTTTAGCCGTCTCACCAGGTCCTTCCTCCTAGTCGCTCTCAGTGTGGAAACTGCTGAACACTGTCCACTCTGCATGACCCTGCTGGCATTTGAAATTCCATGGACATGGCTTTGAATGTCGCAACAACCCAAGCCACCATAGTACCGCAAACTAGCAGACGGGTGGCTTTAACGTCCACATGATTGTTGTGTGTGAGTAATATTTTCCAAAACAAATGACATGCAGTGAGAAGCGTGGCATTGTTTTAGGCATTTTGTGAATCTCTTTATTGTCTGGCTTAATTGGAAACAGCTAGATGCTGTACCTGCATCTGATTTCAATCCATTGTGGCATTGTATCCATGTGCCCTCTAGCAAACCCACTGTGCCCTCAATGAGAAAATGAGGAGCCGGGGTGGCGTGGGGTGAGGGGTGAGGAAGGCCTTTGGATGATTATAAAGATGGTTTGGCTTCACCCATGAAAAGGGGTGCGATACTCAGAGCTTCCTGGACCACTTTGAGAACCACTATTCTAGAGACCCTGCGACACAGCCCCGCCTTCTGGAGGCTTACTCTAATGGGGAAGACGACAAGCATGCCAATCCCAAAGGCATTGAATTCAAAAGAACATCGGGTAGGATTCCTTTAAACATGGCCTGTTTGGAGTTGAGGAGTGCTCCCGTCAAGATTGGCCCTCTAGAAATGACCCTCCTCTGGGACTTGCCCACCATTGTCTTCCCCTAAAACATTGCAGCCTTCCC